AATGGAACTGCTTCCTGGTGGACAGACTGTCCCATTCTAACTCCTGCAGGACACCACTTGATGGTGTACGTCTCAAGGCTCCGGTGATGAGGCAGCCGTCCTGGTAATGCACTCTCTCCAACATCTTGCTGGATTTACGCCAATTAAAGATATATTGGTATAACCTTTATGAATGAACTCGTCCAACTGCCGTGCCCACTACCACTCCCTTAAGCCTGCATTCCGTGGGATCATATCAGTCAGGTTCAGGTGTTCAGACCGGGCACTAGCTGATACAAACCCTTCACAGCTCACAGAGTATCGTGGGATTCTGCAAAACGTGACGACGGAACCGGCAAAATGAGTCAATCTGACCCGGGACACATGATGATGGGAGGAGCCTCGGGAGCAAAAGATGCGACACCGGAGATCCAAGCAATCTGCGATGAGGTTAGCATCGTGCACTTTAGTTGGAGGGGCTTATAGTATAGCTGAGTGGGGACATGATGTATAAAATCGTATAAGTGTTAGCCTGGATGTCAAACCCCGGCTCGACACAAGACTCCCATCGGCCGGGGGAAGCTACCTGTCGTCTCCACCAGGCTCTTTTGCAGGCTGAATATTGAAATAGTAGATATCGGCCTAAAAAGAATGTAGCTGGCCAGGGGAATTGGTCGGCCATAGTATGCAGGCAAACTGGGCCCTCTATGGCCGGCCTGGCCTATTACCCTGGCCAGCTACATTCTGTTTAGGCCGATTTCTACTATTTTTTTCAGCCTGCAAAAGGGTCTAGTGGAAGCCACAAGCACTGATCCCAGCACCTGGGGGTCTAAAATTTGAACAGAGTCTATCTGACTCCGAGGGGTTGTCTATGGTAAAAGTTTCGGAGCCGAGGAGTGAGCCTGTATAGCGTCCCTGACATCAGTATGACTCCCAGTCTAGCATATCAATGTCACCAAGTGATCTCTAATGAAAAATAGTAATAACAGGATTCATTTCAGTATAAAAAGTTTGCAGTTGAAAAATATCTATCGAAGTGCAAATAATATTTGGGCGTTACCCTATGAAGAGTGACTCATAGTCATGTGGTATGGTGTGACTTTTGGGTGCAGCTAGTTTTAAGCTGGCCTATTGTCTGGTGCTCAATGACCCAAGTACAAGTTCATATCTGTAACTTGTCAATGTTCCAGGTGAAGGCAGAAGTGGAAAAACAGGCTGGTGTGAAATATCGCACCTTCCAGGCCGTGTCCTACAGGTCACAGGTGGTGGCAGGAACCAACTACTTCATCAAGGTGAGTGTTAGCAAGCAGCTTTCATGTGATATTAAAAAGATGCTTGATGAGACGAGAGCAATGACACCAGCAAAGAACAGCTTCCCCTGGCTGAAAAATAGATAACCTCCCCTAACCTTACTAGTATCCTCTGGCATCGAATGAAAAAGCACTGGGCGAGCAGACACAACATTGAGAGGCCATGGTATCCCTGACAAGATGTTGTGCCTAAACTGAAAGGTAAAATGGGTACCTGAGTTCTGTAGGGTAGGCAAAGGGCATTGAAAGGATAGGGATGGGCTCCACCTACCATTACCGTGCCCTAGAGGCATAGTGGATCAACAATGCACTACCCCTTATAATGGCCTGCAAGTCTGTCGGACTATTTACCTTTTACCTTAACCTCTTCCCTCCTGTTGTACCCAACGGCACCAAACTCGATAGGTGTTAGAGCTTCATAGACATCCTCATCATCGTTCAGCAACATGTCAGGGAAACTAAGGGGGATTTCTCCAACTGGGTTATATACTATAGTATTAGGCTTGCCACTCAGGCATTGACAAAAGAGACTAAGTGTTCTTATAATATTTTTCAGGTGGACGTAGGTGGTGAGAAGTATGTGCACCTGACGGTGTTCAAGGGTCTGCCACATAACCCTGGCCTCAAGGTCAGCGCCGTACAGCTGAACAAGGGCAAGGAAGACCCCCTCTAGATGCACCTGATGACTGCATCTACCATGAAAGCTGCGCAAAGAGGAACAACTTGTTTGTACCTGGTGGCTGCATTAGTTGTGGTGCTACACAGAAAATATTCAATTCAGCTGGCATATTGTTATGGTACTTCTGTTCCTTCATATTAGATGTTGGATAGACTGCTACATTTTGCTTCCATAAAACGATTATAAAAGAACACAAAATTGTAATACTTTTTACAGACTATTGTCCAGTGACTTCAGTATGGATTCAGCAGCAATTCAAAATTTCAGATCAATGTTTACTATCCGTTGGATTTATTAGGAATCAATTTTAATGTGTGTTGAATCTGTGTCCTCAATTTGCACGTGCATGTTTGTGCAGACCAAAAAACATCGAGATACAGGCAAACATATCTTAACACACCACCTTCTTGCCTTAACCTATATTATTCAAGAAAACTATGGTCCATGTGTCTCTACACGTCCTGACTACCAACCAACAAGTGTTACGTTAATATTGGCTACATAGTAGCAGGTATCCTATGATCAACGACCTTAATTTACTATAGCAAACAAATATTAATGTACATGTAAGAGCTAACTGGTACACTTGTGGGACATCTTGTTTTACTAAAATAATGGCGCTGACAAATTCTTTTAACTTCTAGCAGCGCTTCCACTGGTCAGGCATCTGAAAGATACCCCAACCATCCCCTGGCAGCAAGAGATTGTGTAACACAGGCTATGTTGCATTTTACTCACAGAGAACAAAATTATGATATTGGAGAGATTCAAGACCCTTACTAAGGATAGGCTATTGTAGTGCACCACAGCAAAACATACTGAGATGTAGGGAGGGGTGATAAACATTCCATTTGTCTAGAAATGAGCGAGGTTGCAGGCTTGGAGCAATAAAAGATAGCCTGAGTGTCAGTCTTGTTAGCTTTCGTCCGCCCCCCAAGATCCGCTCCCTGTTGGCCTCTTGGGGAGCGGACGAAAGCTAACAAGGCTAACACTCAGGCTAATAAAAAAAGGATGGCTTGTACATGTATTTTTGCCTGACTAATGCAGTACACACACACACACACACACACACACACAGAAGGACAAAAAGGTACCCACACATACACACACACTCACTCATAGACTCACACTGACACACATGTGCGCGTGTATGTGTGCTTATGTTTTGTTGTGTTTGTTAGTATGCAACTATGCACGCGCGCGCGTGTGTGTGCTTACGTGTGTGTGTGTGCCTGTCAGTGTGTGTGTGTGCCTGTGTGTGTGCTTACGTGCCTTTGTGTGCCTGTGTGTGTGTGTGTGTGCGCGCGCGCGCGCGCGCGCGTGAGCGTGTATAGTACATGTTTGAGGCACAAGCTACCACATGACGTCTGTCTGTTGTTTGTCAATACATCTAATTTCTCTCACCTGAGTGTTGAACCAAGTTGCAATCTAACATTAAACGCCAGGGGGAGCCGCTTGATTGATGAATCTCAGGCTGGTTGATGTATGATGACCGACGCAAACCGACATCACATGTTGGAAACTTTCCATCCTATGATCCTTTGTGGTGTAATCGGCGTCATGGAACCGTCCCGAAAATCCAAAAGGCCGGGCCCTCTGAAGTAAAACAATACAACACAAAACTGCATTACGTTTCCCAGATACTCTATACCCACAATAATACAATGCAAAATGCGCAATATTGCAATATTTAACATGGATTTACAAAACAAACGTAAGATTTACATATGATGATGCACATGTGTTCTGCAGCTCAGCGTAGTTGTTGAATTTGAAACAACCTTACATAGACTATCGATATATTACTATGTTGAAAGTCAAATGTTTCGTCTATTGCGCACTTGTCCGTGCAAATTATACGGCAGGAATTCGGGCTTAGAGTTACATGTATCTCTGAACGTTCTCAAAAAACCTGTCAGAAACATTAGAAGCGAACACCAACCAATACTAACAGTTTACGCTACAAACCAGCGGACTCATTTCTGAGCGCCCGCTGTGAGGTGTCGGATATCAGAAGGTCACTCAGGACCGATTTGTCGGCTGCGCCATTTTGGGGTGCCTCGGATCTGGGTTGGAAAATGAAGACATAAATACACAGGTAAGTACAACAGGGGCTTGAACAAGTTCTCACCGAGTTCTGTAGTGTACTAGTAAACCGTAGATTGTCCGGCTTCGACTTGAAGACGCCCTATGACGCAGTAAGCGTAGGCAGTTATATGAGATACGTACTGACAGTAGCGCCAGAATTATGTCGTGTTTGCGATGCGGTACTGTTTGCGGTTGCAGCAGGACGTGTGGTGTTACTGACAGTTGTTTGAACGCCACATTATCACCGAACAGAGTAACTAAAAGGAAATCCACGACCGTTATATAGACTGTCAGATACCCCATTACGTAATGTCCATACGCAAAGTGGACTGTTATGGTGACTTCGCCCATAATATATATCATATACATTTGTGACGTATTCGTACAGAGACAGGGGTGTGTTGGAAGCTAGAGGTCAAAATGTATCTTCTAAAATGTGAAGAAATGTGGATATACATGTACAATGCATTAGCGGTTATGATGTTAACCAGTTTCATATAAACACTCAGACAGAACCTCAGTCATGTCAGTAGGCTTATAACTGCTTTGACCTAGATTTAGCATCACCTTTGACCTGCTTAACAGAGCCTATGACGTTACTGGTTACGTTGGGAGTGATATAAAAGGTAAGGAGGTTGAAATAAGTGATGAAAGTTCTCGGTATCACAGAAGTCACCCTCAACTGAGTCATGTTGTTTTTAAGAACCTAATGTACATGTAGATTTGGGGTCATCGGGTCTATTAAATAAGAGTAAGCGTCTTTCCGCGCCCGACAGTGAAAAGGAAGCATCTTGTTCACAGTTGTATAGGTAGTAGAATGTAGCCTGTACAACAGAGAGCCAAACTTTATACAATGATAGCATCGATGTTTCCTTACTTAATACTGACAAATTCTCATTTCTCATGAGCTTTAGGCAAACTTCCGATCCAAAAACGAAAAACGTCTAATCTCATTTTTTCACCATCACAGACAAGCGAGAAGTCGCATTTACGTAGTAGACTCTTATGCTAATGATAGTTTGATCATGTGTATGTACACATGTATATACAAGCCATTCTTTTGATGTGCCCTGTATTAAACCCTGTGGATATGAATTAAGGGTTAATGACCCGCTCCGAGGTGTTTACGGTGTGCGATAAAGCCTTGTCAGTTGCTATAACCAAATGCCTAATACAACGTGAGAGCGTAGCGAACAGGGTGGTCTGATTGGTCAACGTCACCTGGCTATATATGGTAATAATAAAGGTATTCATTCATTCATTCATTCATTCATTCATTCATTCATTCATTCATTCATTCATTCATTCACTGATTTATTCATCATCAATATTGTTGTGTTTCAGACCATGGCAGCGTGGTACAAATTGAAAGATGAGGACGACGTGCAGCTGGAGGGCCGCACCTACACGTCTCCCGCGCAGAACGTCACCCTAGTGTCCGGCCTGTGTCGTCTGCGGGACGAGGAACTGCTGTGCGATGTCACCTTGGTGGCCGGAAGGGTCTCATACCGGGTTCACCGCGCCGTCCTGGCCGCGTCCAGCGACTACTTCCGGGTCATGTTCACCAGCGGGATGAAGGAGTGTTCGGAAGATACCATTACTCTGGAGGGGGTTTCACCTGACGGGTTGAGAAGAGTGATCGACTTCATGTACACAACCACCATCACCCTTACGGAGAGCACCATTGTTGCTACGCTGGATACAGCCAGTCAGCTCCAGATACAACCGGTTCTGGAACTTTGTGGAGAGTACATCGTCGAACAAATGGATGAAGAAAACTGCTTCGACATTCTGCGCGTGGCCAACCTGTACGGTTTGAACACGGTGGAGAAATACGTGGGGAAGTTTGTGTTAGAAAAGATGTCGGAAACGACGGACTTCTTGGACATGAGCGAAGAGAGCCTAACAGCTGCTCTGACCAATGACAGGCTAGATCTGAAGGAGATCGAACTCTTCGAACTCGTGGTGAAATGGCTGAAGCACAAGTACGAATCCCGCAAGAAATACGCCGCGAAGCTCATGCGCAAAATCCGCTTTCCTCTGATGACAGAGTCTGATCTTGTTCGAAAGGTATTGACAAAGTTTTCTCTCTCCTTTCAACTCTTCAAGATCTTATTTTCCTCTCTGTCGCGTTTGCAACTTAATGAGTAGAGTGAAATCATTTATGAGTAAGACATCCGTAGCTGCCTGCTTCCCGAGTCTTTACTCAGCCTCATTCTGTAAGACAAGTTTTTGTAATTAAGCATGAAAGTTAATCTGTGTTGGTTCAATACAATATGACGAAAAGGCTAAACTTTATGTCCAACACTAAGTAAATTGCGACTTACCGAAATTTTCGGCCAACTCCGTCAGCCACTGCCTAGTCCTAATTTAGTCCACAAAATCCGCTGTAACATTTGATGACTATACTTGAAATGTATTAAAACGTTTGATTTGCTATCCAGGTGAAGTACTCCGAGGTGATGTGGGACAGTCCCGAGTGTAAAGAGATGGTGAAGGAGGCCGCGGACTACCACGCCTACCCGTACCACCAGAACACGATGCAGTCGGAGCGCACACGGCTGCGGTACGGGCGGCATGTCGCCATTGCTGTGGGCGGCAAGATCAAGAGGGAAGGGCCGCTCGAACAGTGCGATATGGTGCTGTGTTACAACAGGTGGGTGGATGTAACTATAAGGGGTAATCTGGAAAGAGCAATGTTAGATGTGCTAAAATGGAAGAAATCAACGAAAATGTGTGAGGGGGCAAACGCGCGCACAACAAAAGGACTCAATTTGAAAATATTTTGCACAAAGATCAATCTCAGTAAATGAATGAATGAAAGAAATTGAAATGACGACATTCTTCATGTTCTAAATTAAGTCCAAACTATCGTGTACACCAAAAGAAATTGGACTTACCCAAATCTTCGACTGTACAACTCCAGTCTTAGGCAAAGAATGAACAATCCACTGCTTCTGTGACGTCACGTTATGCGCGCGTGATTCGGTGGGCTTGTGTATCAATGTTGCAGAAAGTCTGTGGCGCCGTAGCCTCCTTCGCAGTCTTGTTGGGCGTGGGCGTTATTTTTTCCTGTGAGCGACGCGAGTAATATGCCGCCGCGAGGGACGATTTGCTGCCGAGGGAGTTTTTGCCACGGAGAGAAGGTTTCGCGCTCGCTTGTTGGACAACAAGACTGCGAAGGAGGCTAGTGGCGCCGCCCGTCTTTGTTGAGGGTTGCCATGATATAGATTTTTTTATGTTTGCACCTGCAACAGGGACACCCATTCCTGGGAGGAGCTGACGCGGCTGCCCGCCCGGCTGAAGAACCATTCCATCACGTCAGTAGCGGTGATGGACGGGTTCCTGTACGTCTGCGGGGGGCAGAACCAGTACGGCAACGTGGGCAGACACATCCTGCGGTCTGCGTTCAGATACGACCCAAGGTGATGTTTTCATAGTTTTGGACTTTTGGTTTTGGCCCGCAACAGTCTACCGCATGCTGTTTGTTGCTTGCGGGTTAGATCCGCCCTTCTCCTGGTCAGTAGACTTTATGTCACCGGTATATCATAAAGTAAAATGGTCTTCTGAAAGCCCTGAAGCTAGGTGTCGCTGCTCACAACGCGGTCCCAAATGTAAAGTAAATGTGACAGTGGACTAGTCATAATTGCTCTGATGAAGATGACAGTCATTGAAACGTCGGCTCTTGTTTAGCCTGGATGTCAGACCCACAGCAGTCTTGGCCAAAAGTCATCCAATGTGAAGGGCTCTGGATAACTTTTGGCCTAGTGTGCTGTGGATCTGGCATACAGGCTAGCTCTTGTTAAACAAGTGGCTGCTATTCAAGGCTCAAACCAGTTGTAAAACTTAACCTTGTACTGCTCAGGTTCGACGAGTGGCTCCGGCTGGCGAACATGCAGCAGGAGCGGGCGAGTTTCGCGCTGGGCGGGCTGGACGGCAAGCTGTACGCCGTGGCCGGGATGGACGAGAACGGCAACCTGCGCACTGCCGAGAGGTACGGGAGACGACCAGCCCTCTGCACTAACCTTTTTATTTATTTTTCTATTGAAGCACATAAAAGAAGGCTATCGATTTATAAGATCTAATAAGACATCGAGGAGTTGAAAAGCCTATGTTTTGTCGATTGCACACTTGTCCGTGCGATGGTGACACAAAAATAATCAACAAAGATATTAATACATTTGTACTACTTAAAAATAAAACAGAAATGTACACAAAACAAAGAATACAAAGTAGACTAAGTTTGCCCACATCCAAGACCGCATCGGAACGCACAACATATCTCCTGCCCAACACACGACGAGAGGAGCACGGCCGAAACATCCATGAAAAAACACACAACTCACGGTGTTTATTTTCATGCGAGTGAAACGTATTTCAGCCAGGTTTACAGAATGAACCATTCATTCATTCATTCATTCAGGTACGACCCTGTGTCCAACTGCTGGTCTTACGTCACGTCCCTCTCCACCAACCTGTCCCACCACGCAGGCGCGGTGCTGGACGGGAAGATCATGATCACGGGAGGCTTCAACGGCGACGAGATCCACAACCAGCTGCAGTGCTACGATCCAAAACATGACAAGTACGCGCTTTCTCTGTATCTGTATCTATGTAATGGTATAACTGCCCTTCAGCGTAAGACACCAGGTTCGCAGGCACGCGGCGCGGCGGCAGCTAGCAATATTACACCGAACGACCTGAATCTGTTATTCTTATCGGCGTAATTACTTGTTGTTTTTTTTTTTCGCATCTTTGGCTGATTCTAGCTATTATTGGTGCCAAAAAATAACCTTGTGCTAAGAACTGGCAGTCAATATCATCTTTCCTCATCTAGACCATGTTCTTTCGCCGCCCTGAAATTGCATTGCATGCCTTTAAATCTTCATAAAGTACCTTACCGTGCTGTCTTGGTTTCGGCAGGTGGATCCAGAAGTCGTCGATGGTGATCGAGCGGTTCGGGCACACGTCTGTGGCGCTGCGGGACCGACTGTACGTGATGGGCGGGTGTAACTGCACACCGGAGGGGCACATCGTGGACGTGCTGGGCCTGGAGGGGTACAACATGGACACGGACCAGTGGGCGGTGGTGGCGCCCATGATCACTGGACAGAGCTACGCAGGTAACAAGACTCACACACGAGAGAATACAGAGGTAGTGTGTTTGTCACGGTCATCAAATCGAATATGATTCGGGTTCGAAAGAAGGTTCGAGTTCACCTTCATTCGAACCCCAATCATCGATCTGACGTAGATTCGAACAACGCTAGTTCTGTTTGGAGTCACTCTCGGTCATTTACAGAAAGGTCTTCAGGCGTTTGGCCTTTTAAATATGTTCTAACAGCGTATTACAAGTCCGGGGCACCCGTTTTCTTGGTTGCGCTTTAGTCACATCCTAACCGATACCCAACCGGATACTTTACGGGCTGGACTGACAAACTTAAAAGACTTTTCGGAAACTTTCGAATCTTACTTATGCTCTCCAGAGAGATCCAGAGATAGTTAACAGCCTAATAACCTTAATTTGTCACCTCCTTTCCACAGGTGCAGCTGTGCTAGGCACGTCCATTTTCATCGTGGGGGGTTGGACCAGGAACGACAAGAAGGTCCACAAGTGCGTGTACGCGTATGACGTGGAGCGGGACGAGTGGCGCCGGGAGGGCGACCTGCCCGAGAGAACCATGGACCTCATGGCGTGTGCCATCACCCTGCCGGAGGAGAGGATGACGAAAAACAGCAAATAAGTATAAGAAAACAGCAGGAAGGAAATTGTATCAAGTCCACGTGGCGATGAATAGCAAGTAATCTTGACCAGTAAAGGACAATAGCAAGAATACATACATACTAAAACGATTATGCATAAAACAATAACCAGCATACTTCTTGATGTTGGATGGAGAACCGAGGAGGTTGTAAACGCCGAGCTTCAAATACCTTGAGGTCGAGGACAGACAAGAAACGAAAGTAACAAATGTTCATCCTTTCAATATGACAAAACCTACCATATACCCTGATCTTAAGGTCTTAAACGTTGTAAGTTTGTTTTAAAAAGTCACCTTCAGAATTCTACGGGACTCGAGTGCGACATTGTTCCACGGACCGTCACTATTTAGGTACGTACATGTATCAATGACCCATCTGGTTTCATTGAAGGTTAGCTCCCCTGGAATATATCAACGCACTAAATAGACAACAAAAGTTTGCTTCAGCTGCTAAAATTGATATTGATAAGGTTATGGTATATAACAGTAGTTAAACGCTCGTGTGATACCTAGAGCAATGCCCGTAATGATAGACTAGCAGTCACGTATTTTATCCAACCATACTATTGTCAACTTTTGTCGGGCAACTATTGGTACGTAACATGTCCCATCAGTCATACTGTTAGGTACCAAATTTCTCTTCTTGTTAATTGTATCTTTCGTATTTGTCATAGTACTTGAAATTGTATTCTGCAAACTATATCATTGCGCTATTCCAAAATGTGAAATGTACCAATGTTAAAAGTATTATCATTAAATATCTGATTGATTTACTTGTTCATAAGCTAGACTAAGTGCATTCACAACAAACTTTTTATTGTAGATATTAATAATGATGTATACGTAATACACCACAGCCTTATTTACAATTCTAGTCGGTGAGGCTGGGAAAATTCTTTTTCGTTAAGGAGGCAAAATGTAAATCAACTAGAACATCGCTACTGCTTCATTGGTTCATATTGTCGTAGTGTTAAGGGCTCTGGGGCGATGATATCACAGTAACCGTCGCCATGGTAGCGTTACACATTCCGTACATATGTGTACCAGAATACCCCGGGGTCGGATCCATTACATCATACAGCGGTCGTAATGTCCCTAGCCTGGATGCCAGCCCCATTACACACTAGGCCCAGAGATAGCCAGCGTGTATGGATCGGGGCCTAACTGAAGGGGCCGAGGAAGGCGAGGAACAGGCCTGTGTAGGCCCTGGAGCCGAGGAACTGTGCAGGCTCTGGAAACAGTCTGGCACCCAGGCTATAAGACCCCGGGTAACACAGGAAGGACATAATTTATGCCGGTGAATGCTGTAAAAGGTCAAAGTCAAACTTGATGTGTTCCGGATGAATTGCCGTTGGATTCGTGATCATGAAACCAGAAATGGAATACTGCGGTGTCGGCACAGTACAGAAGAGCGAACGGTCGACGGAATGCCTAGTACTGTTCTTCCCCCATCCAATGCTCAACATGAAGACTGCATAGGAAGAAAGGAACCGTTTGTGTTTCGAGAAGGAGGAACATTTCCATTTGATATTTTTGGTGATGATGTCTCTGATATCTTTGAGCTGTCCTGCAACTTTTCTTCGGGGCCCCAAAATTCAATAACCACCCAGGACTTGCTCTGATATTTTTGTTGCTCCATCGCAGATTAGGACGTTCTCTGTTTCTCTAGCAACTGACCAAAATGGCTCGTCTGATGGCTCGTCTGTTCCCAGGCTGGCCAGAAGCTACTCTGTCTATGCAGTCAAACGCTGCCACCATGGGCAGTAACCTGAACCTGCTCCGCCATGCTGGGGTTCTATGTGACGTTGTCCTGGTGGCAGAGGACACGTCATTTCCGGTACACCGTGCCGTCCTGGCTTCCGGCAGCGACTACTTCAAGGTCATGTTCACGTGTGGGATGAAGGAATCTGCCCAAGGCGTGGTGAACTTGAACGGGATAAGTGCGAAAGGGATCAAGCCACTTCTGGATTACCTCTACACTTCTACAATAACGTTGACATCCGACAACGCTGAGGCCGTGCTACACACTGCTCACCAGCTCCAAATCGACGTTACGGACTTTTGCTCCCAGTATCTTTGCGAAGAGGTCGATGAGGAAAACTGTTTAGATATGCTCGCGCTCGCTGAGATGTACAACCTGCCCAATCTTATCATGGCGGCGGGAAAGTGCATTCTGGAACACAAGGTGGACACGGAAGAGTTCCTGTGCATCGACAAGCCGACGTTGTGCAAGTTCCTCACACACCAAGAGTTGGATCTTGATGAAGTGGAAATCGCGGAAGCCGTCATCCGCTGGCGGAGAAACATGTCCCTGGGATCCACCAGCACTGCAGATCTGTTCAAACACGTCCGGTTACCGCTTATAGAGGAGAAGGATCTTTACGGCAAGGTCTTCGCCGTTCACTTCATCCGGAGCAACCCGGTCCTCGAGGAGCGGGTCCAAGAAGCCATTAAGTACCAGGAGAACCCGTTCCTCCAGCCGGCCATGCAGTCGGAGCACACGGTGCCGCGGAGGTCGGTGGAGACGGTGCTCGCGATCGGCGGAAGGATGCAGCTGGACGGGAAGACCAAGATGGAGAAGTGCGCGGACGTGTTGGCGTTGGAGCCCAGGACGGGGAGGTGGAGGATCATCACGGAGCTGAAGTGGCCTCAGGCGGTGCACTCGATCTGCAGCGTGGCGGCGATGGGAGGGTTTCTCTACACCGTGGGAGGACAGAACCAGTTCAGGCAGCTGGCGAAGCGGACGACCTCAGGAGCCTGCAGGTACGACCCTCGCCGCGACGTTTGGGTGAAGCTGGCGAGCATGAACCAGGAGCGAGGTAGTTTTGTCCTCCTCCCCCACAGAGGATGTCTATACGCCATCGGCGGCTATGATATAGAAGGGATCCCGGCGAAAAGTGTAGAAAAGTACACGCCAGAGAAGAACGAGTGGTCATACGTGCAGCCCCTGCCGGTCGAAAGAGGAGGCAGGGCGGACCATGCAGGTGTGGTCTGTAATAACCGGATATACGTCACCGGTGGGATAGCTCTGGCAACGGACTCCCAGGACACGACGTTCGCCTACGACCACGTACGCGACACTTGGCAACAAAAAGCGTCTCTCAGCGAAGCCCGTTTCGGGCACGGAATGGCGTCCATCGGCGGGAAAATCATTGTGCTTGGCGGTTCTATCACTGAACCGTCTGGCGACACGTTAGACATATACAGTATCGAAAGGTACAGCCCGAATAGCGACGTGTGGGAGACGGTCACCAAGATGCCGTACGGACGCTGCTTCGCAGGTGTCACCGTCTTTGGCGACGACATCTACGTCATAGGCGGGTTCAATAGGAGGAAAGAGGAGACGAAAAAGGCCGCCTATGTCTATCACGTGGAGAAAGACGACTGGGAGGAGATGGAAGGACTTGCAAATAGGAATATGGGAGTGTCGGCTGTGACTTTGAGGGTGCCGAGGAGACTGCTGGAGAAGCAGCTAGAGACAAAAACTATGCTTAAGGCTGCAGTAGCTGACTCTGAGAAATTCTGGAAATAATGTTTACGGCCGTACGTCTGTTGTAATGTACATTTGCTCACAATACAATACAAATCTTATACGTTACGTTCTATGCAATGTATGATACAGTGCGTTGTATGTCTTCATTACATACGTGGTCTTTAGAAACGCCGCGGTATCATATCTAAAAGGTCGTACTTCCCTCAGTGATCCTCAGTGGCAAGTGTGTAACAGTTTAGTCCCGGAAGTGTCCCACCCAATTGGTATCCTGTGTTATTTTGCTATCTAAATCCACGATGTGGCTAATGTCAAATGTGGCTATACTTAAATGTCAAGTTCAGATGCAATTAGTTACACGTCATTGGCTAGTCTGTATAGATTTTTTGTAAAAGGGAAATGCCTGAATGTGCACAGTTCCGTTGTCCTGTTAGTACCATTGGCTTTAATAATAACGATTGAATAAAGGTTTTAAATGCTATCGCTTGTCCAATTCAATACGCATGAATTCTGTGGTACAGTCTCCAAACACTAGCCTCTACCAGGCTTCAGAAGCGGCTAGTAGACTAAATATTGGCCATATAGACACTGTCATATGACAAATAAACTGCAAACTGTACTCCCTTAGCGGACTAACTCCCCTGCCATGTTATCTGTTTACTCGGCCAATACTACTCTTTCCAGCTGCTTCTCACGAGCCTGGTAGAGGCTACCGAAACACCAGTGTCTGATATCTATACCCACAGACACAGTATGACAAGGCCCGGCTCACTGCGCTATTTACGGCACACACACACAACAGCACAGCTAGAGTTTGAGCCCCCATATATAGACCACCTCCTCGGCGTGCCTGGCATACCGCCCTCCGTCCCAGCTACACGCTGCCGCCTGGTCCTCACTCTAACAACAGCGAGTAAAACGGTCAGTTATTTTCGTGAAATTTTCTACAGATCTCTATAGATGATAGAGTTATGTATTCTAGGTCTTCAGTCTGTGAATTTTATAACAATTTAACAGTTCGTTTACACTACTGTTCTGTAGTTGGGCTGTCCACCGTAAGGGCATGTCATTCATAGTGGGAAGATGCGACTATTCCGTTAGGGGGTGTATAAGTTGGCTACATAATATGTGTACCCCCCACCTAATACTAGTAGCAAAATACTATTGGATATGTAACATGAGCCAAAAATGACATTGTTTCTGTGTTCCATGTTGGCATATGACTTATGAATTACCGTGTCCCTTGCTTATCATGTAATCATGTGTCATGTGTGTGTGTATGTGTGTGTGTGTATGTGCGCGCGCGCGCGTGTATGGTTTTGTGTGTATGTGCGTTGTGTATGCGTTTGTGAGCGTGCGTGTGTGTGTGTGCATGTGTGTGATCCTGTGTGTGCTTGCGTGTGTGCATGCGCGTATTTGTGTGTGTGTGTTTGTTTGTGTGTGTGTGTGTGTGTGTGTGTGTGTATGTGTGCACTGCAACCTTTAAACAAAGTCCCCCACCCCACGCCCTCAACGATTACCCCAATTCGCCCCTGACACAGGTATGAAATATAAACCGTGCTTGGATTAAAGTGAGCCTCCAGGGATTAATGGAGAAGCCCGTTTACATGACGGAGAAGCCCCTTTACACTTGATAATGACCGACATCTACATTCCCAGCGCTATTTCTGTCCCTGATGGTTCGGGTCAAGTCGCACTCGCGCTAATACAAACAACGGGGCATCAGGGAAAGGGCGATGTAATCCATCAACCATTATAGTGATGCGGACAATTTTAGTAATAGTCACAGACGTCGGATCGTAAAATTGTTTAACTCCAGACTTCTGGAAGATCAAAACACGTATAAGTGTTGATTAGCTATACACACTCCGCTTTCCTAATGTCAGACAGATTTGTCATCGGCATTACCCACTGATCCGTACAGCTGTTGTCTAGTGATGCACGCTCTAACATCAATCATGAGTGGGGTTTGTGGCATTTAGAGCCCTGCCTTTAGTTATCTCTTTAAATGTTCATCAGTTAGAGGCTTGTAAGATAAGATGTACAGATACCCTTGCTGGCTTATGGTGACGCAACACCCAGTTGTTTCTGTGTAGCCAGAAACTCACCAGCTTCTGTATCTGAATAACCGGTAAAAGGGCCCTTCCTATTTGGCATAACACACCAGATTCTGTATCTGTATAGCAGGTATAACCATCCTTCTGTGTAACACACCATCCTCTGTATCTAGCTGTCTACTAGTATCATACGCATACCCGGTATAACTGCCCTTCAGTGTAACATGCCAGCTTCGCAGGCACGCGGCTTGGCGGCTGTTGGCTATACTGCACCGAATGACCTGTCACACCTAACTTTTGCACATCTAACTGTAAGCTATATAGTGATGATGCCCCTATTATACTTAGTTGCAGTGAGTTCCACTCTACGATAGTTTTACGAAAATACGAGTTTACGTCATTAACGTGAGAAATGTTCCCCTCAGCCATGACGTCAGACACGTGTCCGCACGCGGCGGCCATCTGTGCGCATGCGGAGTCGCGGACCTTCACGTCACCCACGTACAACGACAGTCTGGTGGCCAACCTGAACAGACTCAGGTCAGAGGGCACGCTCTGTGACGTCACGCTGGTCGCAGGTAACGCCAAAGTTTTCGTGATAATTGATATATACATAGGGAGACCGTGATATTGTCTGCAATATGATCATGGTCTCTTCAAGACTCATCTAATGCATTCATTGATCACAGACTGCAAATATTAGTATGCTATCTGCAATAGAAATTGCAAAAAAAGTTTTTAATAGAAAAGTATCCATTGATTATTTACATAATTTCTAATTTACAGTCGTGCCATCGATTGCTTTTGATTGATTGATTGATTGATGAATCGATTTTCGTGTCCTGTTCTTCTTGTCTTAGGTTAAAAGTTTTCATACAACGTCGCCTTTACTTGTTCTAGATGACGTTTGTTCATCTGTTTATTTGTTTGTTTATTTGTTTGTTTGTTGATGTTCACCAGAGAAAAGAAAGTTCCCCGCCCACCGAGCTGTGCTGGCGTCATGCAGTGACTACTTCCGGGCCATGTTCACTTCCGGTATGCGAGAGACATGCGCAGAAGAGATCGAGCTCCACGCAGTTCCCGCGCTGGGCCTGAGTCACGTGCTGGAGTTCATGTACACGGCTTCCATCACGCTCAGTCCCGAGAACATAGAGCAGGTGGGAAGATGTCAGCATTGCTTTGCTCAGTACATGTAGAGGACCCAAAATTGATATAGAAGTAGATGTCTGGCGGCAAAAGTGTTACGGTTTAGAATTGGACATCGAGAGAGTCCTCAGCCGCCCAGACTCGGATGACAAATGGATACCCCGCCTGGCCAATTTGATACTGTCTTTGCAGGCACCGAAAGGTCTGTTTGGAGATTACAGTAAAGGATCCAAAATGGGAACACGGTTGAAAATCCTTTCTTCTCTATCAAATTTTGGTCCAGTTTCGAGACTTTTGGGCGACAAGGAACAGGCAGGGTCTAAAGTAACCTATTTTGGTCAAGTTTTGTTTATTACCCTCCATGAAAATGGGGGTACTGTTTTTACTCCGTTTCATGTTTGGTCTGATATCTGAAGATCGGTGAGAAGGAACTGTACGATATTTGGCAGATTGATGGATGGGGCCTTGGAGATTGTGTAGGTTGACTTTGAGCCCCTGGTGATTGAACTTGGTACTGCAGTTTAATTTTTTATTCTGTTGTTTTCGCGTTATGGACTGTTTGTGCGATATTAAGGTAGCATGTAGTTGTTATTATTATGGTTTAGTGGTTTAAATTTGAGTTTCCTAGCTGTTTGCGTTTGATATTTACAAAATGTTTAATGTTGGACTTTTTGTGTTGAATGTTTGGAAAATCTGGGGGATGGTTTGGTATGATTTTTGGTATGTGGGTAGTTGTTGAGTCTCTTTGTGTTTTGGAGTGCATTAGCAGGTTGTCGCATATTTTTATTGCTTAATTTAAAAGGATTTTTCACTTTTTCACCCCTACTTCATAATAGGATGGTCTGTTTGACCCAAAAGTTGGGACAGAGTGTTTTTGTTTATACCTCCAGCTGGCAGGTCAACCCAGGCAGCCCTATCTATTTTTACCCCTAGACAGTCTGCAGGAAAATAAATCTTGTTTGTCTGGTCTGCAGGTCATTTGCCAGTGTCTGGTCATTGACCTACATGTACAGGCAAATGTAGCCTGGGTACCATCCCCAGTAGTATATTCGCAAACTCTATAACAGTTATAGAGTTTGCGAATATACTACTGGGGATGGTACCCAGGCTAAGGCAAATGACCTGCTGGCCATCAAAGTAAACAAACCATGGTAACAAGACACTAAACGCCTGCACATGACAGCTTGATGAAAGTGCCACCACAAATCATTCTGCTGATAAAAACAAAGTTTGACTCATAATATCTCTTTTGAAATACACCAAAAGATTACAAAATAACAAGCTATTTCATGGAGGGATGATGTCTACGACTTCTCCTTGTTTTACCAGTTTTTAGTAGGTGTAATTAAGAGACCTGATTGATCGTGGTTCGGTCTGTGACTTTCTGGTGAATTTGTGAGATTGAAATCTGAAAAAGTACTTGTAGAAGTCCTTGTTTCAGTGTATTCAACTACTTTGCCTTCAATGCCCACTTGGCCAAACTTAACGGTGGTATATCTGTACAGGTCCTGGAGGCCGCATCGCAGCTGCAGGTGTCGGTGATTGACTACTGCTGCGAGTACTTCATAGAGAAGATCGACAAGAACAACTGCTTCGACATCCTGGAGATCGCACAGTTCTACAGCATGGAGGAGGTGGAGATGAGGGCGGGAAAGTTTATCCTGGAGAAAATGACGTACAGCGAGGAGTACGCCTTGTTAGCACCGGAGACGTTAGCTAAGGCGGTTACTAACGACGATTTAGACATGACAGAGATGCAGGTGTTTAACAAGATCATGCGGTGGTTGGACTTGGCGCCGAGTGGGACGGAGAAAGTGAAAGACATTCTGCAGCACGTGCGGTTCCCTATGATTTCCGAGACGGACTTGTTCAAGAGGGTACTAACGACGGATTGCATGGAGGCTATACCGGGCTTGTCTGATCTGCTACAAGACGCGTTCGCGTACCACGCCAAGCCGATCCTACAGCCCAGCATGCAGACGGAACACACCAGACCCCGGCAGGCTGTGGAGACTGTTATAGCGCTGGGAGGGCGCGTGAAAGTGGACGGACCTCTGGAGAGGTGTAACGATGTTCTTGGGTTGGATCCGTACAGTGGTACCTGGCACACAATCGCGGACATGCCCTGGCCGCAGTCCACCCACACCATCACGTCGGTAGCCGTCCTGGAGAACTTCCTTTACGTGGTGGGAGGACAGAACCAGTACGGCAGTGTAGGCAGGAGGAGCACTAACGCGGCTTTCCGCTACGACCCGCGCTTCGACGAGTGGCTCAGGCTGGCCAGCATGAAGGAAGACCGCGCCTGCTTCTGTCTGCTGGCCCTTGGAGGACACCTGTACGCCATAGCGGGGCAGAACAAGAACGGGAACCTCCGCACGGTGGAGAGGTACTCCCCTCTAACGGACGAGTGGGACTACGTGGCCCGTATGCCGTTAGAGCGCTCCCATCACGCCGGTACGGTGTGTAACGGCCGGCTGTACGTCAGCGGCGGCATGCACGATAACGACGTCCAGGGCACCATGTACGACTTCGAGCCCGACGAGAACTTCTGGCAGTTCAAATTGCCGATGAAGAACGAGCGGTTCGGACACGGCATGGCGACGGTCGGAGGGAAGATCTTCTCTGTCGGAGGCTGTACTTGTAACGACCAGGGAGACATTATAGACGTGACCAGCATGGAATGTTTCGACCCAGAGACGAACCTGTGGAGCACCATGGCCACCATGCCGCAGGGACAGAGCTATGCTGCACTGTGTGTGCAAGGTAAGTCTTTTAGTGTGTCCACTCTTATTGCTAAGTGGTCGATGTTCTTTGCTGTAACCACCAGGCATCGTTTTCTGACTAGTGCGTTTGTATTGTACAGAAGGTGATGTAGATGTGTCTGTCTGTCTGCCGTGTGTGTGTGTGTGTGAGAGAGAGAGAGAGAGAGGGAGAGAGACATAGAGAGAGACAGAGAGAGAGAGAGAGAGTGTGTGTGTGTGTGTGTGTGTGTGTGTGTGTGTGTGTGAGCGTGTGTGTGTGGTGTCACTGGTGTGTATGTGTGTGTGTGTATGTGTGTGGTGTCACTGGTGTGTATGTGTGTGTGTATGTGTGTGTGTAGTCACACTTCCGTCCCTGACACTCCCGTGACGTCATTGTTGCCTAGGTGACAGCATCTACGTGGTCGGCGGCTGCAACCGGAACGAGAAGACAGTAACGTGTCACACTAACAGATATGACGTCACGAAGAACAGTTGGCACAAGATGGCGGACTTCCCCCATCATTCCATGGGGCTGGCGGGATCCACGCTGACGGTGACGCGCAGGATGCTCAATAAACCCACCTACTGAGCGGGTACACAGTCAGATAGGACAATAACTAGAAAGGTAACGTTTGCAAAGCAAATGCATAATGTTTACCTTCATTTGGTTTCGACCAACAAAGCACTGCACTGTTTCTTCTTCCTCAAAGCCAAATACATTCATAGATATGGTGAGCAGTCTCTCCAACTCTGTTCTGCTACAAAATGCAACTTAATACCACAGGGTGTTGCTACAGAACAAGTTACATTTGTACCATGGTGACAGACGTCTGGTCCAGGTCTTTGACTTTGTTTGGAACGGAAGAAGAAGAGGAAGAAGAAACTGAGCAAAACAGTATGTTTTCATTCTGTGAAGGTAAAGTTGTCCTTCTGCAATGGGAAACATAAATATTAGAATATTAGCCTTTACCAGGCTTCGGAAGGGGCTGAAAAGAGTAAAAAAAATGGCCAGATAGACAGATACATGTACTAGTAACATGCCAGGGGAGTTATTCCGCTAATGCCACCCTGCGAAAAGTCTCTTGGCTTTATGTTGACGACGAATAAGTGCAATCAGCGTTGTAATGTTATATTCTAAAATGTCGTTTGTAGATATTGAGTGTGAAAGTCGACAGAAAAAAAATCGAAAGTAAAAAGGGAAGGAAATAAACCATTCTGTTGTTGCGTTGGCCTCTTTGCTTCATTCAATAGTATTGTTTTCCTTCCATATCTTGTTTCATAAAACCAGAACAAACACAGCAAGATAACAAAGGCTGTATCCCGTATAGGTGCATTGCCTTTGGGAACACAAGTGATGACTGGTGGTTACGAGGGTGCCAGTCGCTAAAGGACATAATTTTTACGTTTTGAACTGTGCCATAATCACTGCCTTTAGTCATTCTTCCTACAAAACATTCATACAGCATTGCTTTCTCGTTTGGTGGAAAGTTAGACTAAATTTTCCAATAAATACAGGTAGCCGTTGAATCTAAGGTACACTGTACATAGCTTGATATACTTCTGTACCATATAGCCGAAACCAACTGCAGTATCGGCACACCTGCCGTCCCACCAAGCTATAAACGTTCACCCCTGAACTGTGCTACCTGCCGTCGCCTAGCAACGGAATTCGACGCCGGTGGCCTTTGTCATGCAAATGAGCCGGGCGACCCCTTCACCTCGGGAGAGAATAGCGTAAGGTGTCAGATGCCTTGTCGGGTTGCGGCGTACCGCGACTAAGTTTAGCTGGGGAGATTTGTTCAGATTCGTGCCAAACAAACCGACTTAACGTTGCATTACTGAGCTAACAGCCTGTCTCAGGTTTTATTGTGAGGCAGTTCTGCTTGCTACGGAAGTGAGAGAAAGCTCGCAGGCACGGCTGCTAGAACCAGGTTTTGTGAAGTTTGGACTTAAACTTTTCGTCGTCATGCCGCGTATCTTGGGAGATCTGTCGGGCGAGACCGTCAAGTTGGTCCACATCTTCGACTTCAGCGAGGGCTGTTTCGAGCGGTTCCGGCCAGTGCTGGGCTCGCCCTACGCCGCAGACTTGGAGGCATGCGCCGGTACCATCACGGCGTCCGTCACCTGCTGCCTGTACGACCCTGACGTCCGGCTGCACCTGCTCGGCTCCGACAACAAGGGGTACATCCTCAGCACCGACAAGCCAGACTCGGACGAGGATAGCTTGACCGTACAGCTCACCGATGTGTCCGGCCTACCCTCGTCCTACCGCCGGAAGGCGACCTACAACATACGGCGGTGGGACCTGCTAGTCTGCGCGCTGTCCCGCGGCATTCTACGGCCCATCTACCCCAGCAACAACCTGCCCCTCTTACAGGTGAGCTAACTGGGTACTAGTTTCTATGCCTACTTTTGTCTAACGCAGTTCTCCGCAGCGGTGTGTGCATTGGTTGTTGCAAGGATGTTAAGGAGAAGGTATAACCTCCTTGGTCGTTGCAAGGAGGTTAAAATCTAGACTTTTAACCTCCTTGTTTGTTGTATTTGTCATATCTTGTTTACAGGCTACCAGCGTTACTCGGTCACAAATACACAAATAGATTGCCCACAGCAAATATTTTGAGGCAAATACAGGTCAATCTTGAGAAATTTCTTTTCTAAGTCAATGATAGGAGATTTCGTATTTCAGAAATCTTTCTAGTCACAAATCTACAAAATTTCTTGCCTACGGCAAATATGTGAGCCAAATCTAGGTCAATCATGAAAAAAAACTCACGAGGGAAAGTTTTAGTCTACAGTGAGTGTTTGTCTTGTCGTTAAGTGTCTGTCTATCAAGACAACAAGCTAAATTGTCAACTTTGTAGACAAAGTTGTTTGAAGTTCGTGGATGAAGTGAGATAATTGGGCAATTAGTCCCGTGCAGACACCTGTGATTTTCAAGTGTCCTTCAAGACAAGTAGAGCGGGAATCGGTCTCCTTGAGACACGTGCCCAGCTCAGGTAACTTAAGAACACTTGGCAACAAAAGTGACAGGTAGAATTTCATACGGAGCCATATTTAGCACTCCCCTTCTCAAAATACTTCTACTCTTGAGTCTTGACCATCAACAGACCGTTCCCGATCGAACTCGTGGAACCACCTGTTCTATTTCGAACACCTCCGTCGAACCCCTTTTCTATTTCGTACACTTCCGTCGAACCCCTGTTCCATTTCGATCACTTCTGTCGAACCCCTGTTCTATTTCGAAATGGAACATGGGGTTCGACGTGTTCGATCGGGAACGGTCTACTGAAGACACAGAATGTGGAAGGCACTCAGCACTATTCAACCACACGCAAGACAAACTTGTTAAAGCTACAAACATTAAGCGTGAAGAAACTTCAGCCAAACCTATATAATGTTAGAAAGATAAAGATATCTTCGTGGTTTCGGTAAGCCTTGTAGTGTCGCCGTGCACCATGTCACGTATACGCGTCTCTCAGCAGTGAACTTCGCCCCTCAAAAGAATAAATACCCGTATTTAAAAACGTTGTATTCAACACCTGTCTACGATCGTAGACAGACGATCATACTACATAGGGTAAACGGTCATGTCCTATTTTCTAGAGGGTTGTATAACAATGTGGTCACGCGACTTTTCAATTTGCAAATGTCAAGTTCATGTGTGGAAAATATTTTAAACAGTGTTCGGACTGAAAGCGTTTTGTTTGAGGAAGGCACACTTATGTTGCAAACCTGGACGTGTTCCACTGGGGCGAAGTGCACAGTGTGTTTGCTAGACAACCCATACAGGCATGTGAGGCTAAATATAGGATGAACATTGACTTTTGCAGTTGATGTTGACATAGCGGGATACAGTTACAATGGGACCTGAAACCTAGCTATTTAGACAAGCCGATTCATCTTAAGTTGACAGAAACAACTTGAAGCTGCAAAATTTCAACCTATTTGAAATGTTAGAACTTGACAATACATGTAGTGACCGTATGGCCCAGACTTCAGTTTGCGTTTTGGAAGTGGTGAATGAACGAATGAACGTGAATTATTTAAATACCCTCATTGTCTCATACCGACTGCTCCCAGGTATCTGCACCTGTTACCATGGTGACAGCCGTCTGGTCAGGTCATTTACCTTATTTGTTGGGAGCGGAAGGGAAAAAGCAGAGCAAAAACAATAAATGTTTTCCTTTGGCGAAGGTAAACATAAAAAATACATCCAGGTGATGAGATACAGAGGAAAGTTAAAGTTACTCCAGGAGCTGGAAATATTTAGAAAATTGTCAGACGTTTAAGGTTGTATCCACTTCCTTTCCTCAGTGACGAACAGGGTCGAAAAGAAGTTGATGCTATATACTTGAAACGTCTGGCAGTTTTTAAGATCTATATGTTTTCTTGTTTATCATTATTGTATCAAGTTTCACACACAGAAGTTATTGCGATATTCAATCCATTTTATAACCCCCTTGTGTGTGTGGGTGAATGGATTATTGATAGCTTTATACAATGGTCCAAATGACATTCAAATGTAATCAAAGATTCATGACGACGCCCGTACTCACGATCCGTTCACCTCTGGCAGGTCACCCCGACTCTGGGGGGAGGGGAGGGGCACGGACTCGTCTTCACCAACTGCTTCACGGGAAAACCTGCCCACGTGACCACCGACCAATGGGAATCACGGCTGCGGGACTCGCCTGTTCTGAAAGGTAAGGCGTACGTTTGAACCTATATCTTATGTTTGGCACCGTAGGAATGACTTGTAAACATAGATACGTGTACTTTAATTATGTCTTTATTGAAATCTTCATGATAAGAAAGTGCAGGTGAAGTAACTTGATGTTCACCTTGAACACTTTGAAGATCGACCAAGGTTGTAATGCGGGAGTCCTTTCTTTCTTTCCTTCCTTCCATCCTTCCTCCCCACCTTCCTTCCGTCTTTCTTGTAGTTCAGTACGAGAAGCAGTAGTCGTCTAAATCGGAAAGAGCATTACTAGTATTCCACTCAAGTGCTAGTCTTGATGTTCACTGAAACCACCTGTTATTGGAGCCACTCTCGAAAGTAGTCCCCAGGTCTTTGGATCTGGTACTTACGATATGTTGTTGCTTTCTCTCTCTCTCTC